GGACTTTCAAACATTGGGATATACATTTACCAAAAGCCACCTGGTTGGTCAACACCAGAGGATCTGCCAACAGGGCTGGCCCAGCCCAGTCAGAACTTTTACATATTGTAGAGGGGGATAAAGTTCCTGTGGTGCACATAAAGAATTTGCTGGGGAAGACAGTCTGGGTTATTCCTGCTTCAGGTAAAGGCAAACCCACTCGTGGGATTGCTTTTGCTCAGGGACCCAGATATACTTGGTGTGTAATGTGGGAAGATGGGAAAGTCCGATGTGTACCTCAAGGGGATTTGATTTTAGGGGAAAACAGCCTGTGAACTCAATTATATGATGTTGCCTGCTATGTAGCACTTTTGTAGCCCACCAACTAGATGTCCTCAGGTCACCAGAGACTGGCCCTGACTTCCTTCCAATCATCATCCCAACAAAGAATGATTAAACTAGACGAGCTCAGCAGTGACCAGACGAGTTCCAATGGTGTCATCCGCAGGCAACAATCCAACACTACACACCATCTCTCCTGCTCTGAAAGACTGTTACAAGAGATGGAGCCCGACATCATGGATCGGATGAACTCCGCAGCTTTTTAGGGATTGGCCCATGCACTAAGGAATGATCTCTCTCTTTGTGTATGTGTGGGTGTATATATATATATACACACACATGTATATGAGACAAGAGTGATAGTATATTGAAAAATGTGGGATCTGAGCATGAGGTGAATGGTATGGAATAAGGGGTAGATACTGTCCTGGGTTCAGAAGTAGAACTCATTCTTCTCCTTAGTAGCTGGTGCAGTGCTGTGTTTCAGTGACTTTCAGTCTGGGAGCAACGCTGATAACTCTGATGGTTTTAGTTGTTGCTAAGTAATGTTTACTCCAATCAAGGGCTTTTTGTCTCATGCTCTGCCAATGAGGAGGGGCACAAGAAGCAGAGACAGGACACCTGGCCCAAACTAGCCAAAGGGAAACTGGAAGGAGTTATCTGGAAGGGCTAGATAGCTGCTCTGGTCATGCTGGGTATTGGTCGGCAGGTGGTGAGCAATTGTATTCTCTCCCCTTGTTATTTCCCTTATCATTATTATTGGTGGTAGCAGTAGTAGTTTCGTTTTATACCTTAGTTACTGGCCTGTTCTCGTCTCAACCCATGGGAGTTACATTTTTTCAGTTCTCCTCCCCATCTCTCCAGGTGCAGGAGGAGGAAGGGAGGGGGGAGTGAGCTAGCGGCTGCATGGTGCTCCCCCTAGTTTATATACTGGGCATAATGTGCTGTGGTATGGAATAACCCTTTGGCTAGTTTGGGTCAGGTGTCCTGTCTCTGCTTCCTCCCAGCTTCCCGTGCTCCTCCTCACTGGCAGAGCATGAGCTTGAAAAGTCCTTGATCAGAATTTAGTATAAGTTGTCCCTGCCCCATGGCAGGGGGTTTGGAACTAGATGATCTTAAGGTCCTTTCCAACCCTAACTATTCTATGATTTTATGATTCTGTGAATAAACATTACTTAGCAACAATTAAAAACTTCAGTGTTATCGGCGTTGTTCTCAGGCTAAAGTTGAAAAGACAGCACTACACAAGTTACTAAGGAGAAAAATGACTGCTACTGCTGAACCCAGGATACTCCTGAAGCCCGTGGAGGACCTCCCACTGTGGAACAGTTGGACATTTTCTGAAAAATCTCCAGCCCATGGATAGCCTGCTCTTGAGCAGGGGAACAGTGTGAGGAGGAAGGAACAGCAGAGATGAACTGTTATGGACTAAACACAACCCCCATTCCCCCTGCACCACTGGGGAGGGGGGGAGAGAAGAGTCAGGAATGAAGGAGTAAATTTGAACCTGGGAAAAAGTGGGAGGAGGCAGGAAGGTGGTTTTGATTTTCATCATCCTACTCCATTTTTAATTGTCAATAAATTAAACTTTTTTCCCCCAGCTTAAGTCTGTTTTGCCTGTGATGGTAATTGGTAAGTGATCTCCCTGTGTCTAGCTCAACCCACAGGCTTCTCCGTCTTTATTTCTCCCCTTTGTCCTACTGAGGAGGGGGAGTGAGAGAGCAGTTGAGTGAGTGTCTGGCAGCCAACCAAGGTCAATCCACCACACTATCTCTAGATAAAAGCTGCATCAAGAAGTTCTAGGCTCTTGTTGTTTACTTGTATTTGGCTTTGTTTCAAAGGAATTCTCAAAGTTTTGGTCAGAGAACTACTAAAAATTTAGCTCAAGAAGGTTAACTTATAATATGTCCAATTTCAACAAACAGGATACATAAACACCTATGTGATCTGTGACATGTCAGAATGATAGCAATGAGGAAGAGGATTAAGAATTACCAAACACCAATGAAGGGAAAATTCAAATTTTAACTGATCAGCAGTAGTAATTTGAGATCAAGGAATGATTTGGCATGGAGGATAAGAAAGCCCAACTGCAGAAGGGGTTAAACTGGCTGGAAGCAGGAATGGAAGAGACATTTCCCTAGGTGATAAGAAACAGCCACAGCTTTGCCCTCTTGTAGCAATCCTGGAATGCAAGTGCTCACCCTTGGGCAGCAGAGCTGGGCTAGGGTATGGACCCAAGGCTGGTTAAGGCACCCCATGCCAACTCTCACATAATCGGTGCAGGTGCAAATGAATATAAGGAATCTTCTCCTGATGCACCTTTGCAGACTCCTTGTAGGTCCATTTATGGCATTAGGACTGTCCAATGCATTGTTCATTAAAACTTTTTATATTTAATCTCAAACATGTGTTTAATTCACCTCAAAGGTTACAACAAAAATTCCCCAACATTACACACATGTAAATTAAAGCTTAAAGTTAAATCAGTTTTTTATTCAAAGAACATATTAAAATGCAGCACATTTACTCTTCTGCTGTTAAATCATGCCAAACTACAGATTAATCTTATAAAGCATAGAACACACCAATATTTCTTGCATACAATCACTTTTTAATAAAAACAAAAGCAGTCTTCCACCTCAGTTTTTTTTACTTGTTATTTTACCAAAAAACTGTTACTTACACACAAGTACTTGAGCTGTCTGAAATTTTTCAACAGCTACATAAAATTCTACTTGTCATATGAAAGAAGCATTTTACAAGTTGTCAAAAGCACTACAGATGATTGGGAAAATCAGTTCTATTGAATTAAGTTATAACTTGTATCTGCAAGTGGCTGGTGATTAGTCTTGTGCCCTGTGAAATACCACTCAAGCAATTTCAAGTTATGAATCGCAAGTACAAGAAATTCATGCACAAGGCTCAATTTGAGATCAGACTATTGGTATGCAGCCAACAGAACAGTCAAAAGCATGTAACTGAAAGATGCTAAACCCACAGCCATGAATTGCTAGGTAGTTTTACATAGCCTAAGAAACCTGAAATGACTATAAAGTGTTTCATTTCATTAAGTCCAAAAGATTAAAACTGGAGTGCATTAATACATTATTTTAAACAAACTGAGTTAATACAATTTCTACCACAACAGGTATCAATTATCAGAGAACATAACCCAACAATTGCAGTTTCCACTGTAGAATTACTACTTTTCTGAAACAGCTCTATGCAGCTAGTCAGTCTATATCAAGTAATTGAACAATTTTTTTTCTTCTCACTTAAGAAAGAGGGAAAGTCTGAATTCTTATCTGGATTTCCTGACCTTCAATGAAAGGGAGGAGTTAGGAGCAAGTGGGTCAGTAAATATGACTTATTAACATCCCCTAAAGTAGTAGCTCAACCAAAGAGTTTATCCAATTCGGAAACAAAATTTCTGTAGCATATTACGGATCTCTGGTTGCCTTCCAAGAAAAATACAGAAAGAAATCACTATGAGACAATGGTATTTGAAAGTACACAAGACTCATGAGGTGACAAATATACTGCTAAATGGTTTTTATCTGCATCTTAGAGCACTAGGCAGTGTTCTGTACCTTCATTTATTTGGGAAATATATGAAATCACACAGTTAACATACTCAAAACTGCCTTTAGAAGCCTATTTTCTGGTTATATAGTGAATACTTTTTTTTTGACATGTTTAATTGATAGCTGTGCTACAGTTAGTGAACACAAGACTGGCATGTTATCCTTTATTCACAGTGAGTATGAAGGCTACTGTTTGCTAATAATCATATGAGAGCAATATTTTATAACTCAGTGTTTGCTAATTGGAGATTTAAAACAGTTTAGTACAAATCAATACCACCCTGTCAATACCCCCCTTTATTAACAAAAGCAAGTGCCAAATCATTAAAGGGTCCAAAAATATCTAAAAAATATTACCAATTGTTTACCTTTGTCTAGCCTTTGCAAGACTAATCATTTTCAGATAAACCCAACAATGTGCAAAAGTTCCTAACAACATACATTAGGAATAACATGTGCTACTCAAACCAAAAGATTCTGCTGAGATCAAATTAAAAAAAAACATAAAACAGCAAAGTCAAAGTCTCATATTGTCCCTAAACCATGACACATAACTTGAACAGTTGTAGTGAAGATCCTGAACTATCTTACAACTTCCTGCATGAAGCAGTTTCTTCCCTTCTACAAGTTATCTTCTGCCTTAGTTATTATAGGCAAAAATATACTGACATTAGAAAACTTGATTCCATTGCTGCTTACAGTATCCTCAGACCTACCACTTAATACAGTTTTGCTTAAACAGTGAGATACTTTCCATTTTCTCAGACTTCCAGTATCTGAAGAGGGCGTACAAGGATGCTGGAGAGGGACTTCACTAGGGACTGTAATAATAGGACAAAGGATGATGGGTTCAAACTTAAACAGAAGTTTAGATTGGATATAAGGAAGAAATTCTTTACTGTAAAGGTGGTGAGGCACTGGAACGGGTTGTCCAGGGAAGTTGTGAATGCTCCATCCCTGGCGGTGTTCAAGGCCAGGTTGGACAGAGCCTTGGGTGACATGGTGTGAGGTGTCCCTGCTCATGGCAGGGGGGTTGGAACTAGATGATCTTAAGGTCCTTTCCAACCCTAACTATTCTATGATTCTATGTGTACCATTCTGCTAACCACAAACTGCTCAGAAAGTGCTTCCTGTGAAAACAGTTTCAAATAATGAGTTAACCTTGCAAAATTCTAGCTTCTCACAACATGAAGTTTATCCACCCTGCATTATGTGGTTCCATATTTACAAGATACTTAAACTTTACATTTGTCTTTTACCTTACAAAAAGTGCAACTCTCTCACCCCATATTATGGGGTGACAGCAATCACTATAAATTCTACAGGACAGCAGCCTATGATAAATAAATAAGGTGCTTAGATTATGCCCAGGATCTAACTGGTTAAGGACCACCAAGTACCACCATTTCATAAAGGCAGACTCCATTCCTATGCTACTGTCACAGTGGTGCCACAGCTAGGTTTGCAAGTTCAATAAGAGCCAATGCACCATGCATGTGTTCATGCTGTTCCTGGAGGCTGCGGCGAGCTGCTGAATGAGCATTATTTTTCTCTTCATCATCCTCTTCATCAGACTGAAGAAATCCCATCCGGTCCTTCTGTCCCTGATCCATTTTCTGGATTGTTTTACTTTTCAAAGTAGGAGCATGCTGTTCTCTAGTCTCCCAGTACCTACAACAGAGGTGGAGAATGTTTTTAAATTATGTACAGTTTATGTAAGAACTACTATTCAAAGCTAGCAGACCTTCCAAGTATTGCCTTGCACATGACTAATCGCTGCATTTCTTTTTTCTCTTTCAATCCTTTTATGGCACTATTTAAGTGCTTATCAGAAGCCTCCTTTATTGAGCATTTAAAGTGCCCAAGGGACATCTGATCTTTCACACAGCTCTTTCTAATACATGGTATTCCCACCAGTCAGCTCTCCCTGTACATTGTTGTTCCTCACATAGATGCAAATTCAGCAGTAATGACTGTAGCACTAACATGATATTAGCAGGTGTTGTTCAAGCAAAGTGAAGCATTTAAGTAGAGAAGGAAAAACAGACAAGAAAGCCTCATGAGGAACTTTGTCATAACCAGGAGTCAGTACTTAAACAAAAGGTGAGGCTGGGTTGAATCATACTAAAGGAATAGCTGGGTTTTGTTTATTGTTTTTCTTTCCTTTTTTTTTTTTCCCTCCTAAGAATAAAACACTTTCTCAGTCCACTCTGTGTTATAAATTTAGAGAAAGATCACAACATAAGGAAACTTACTTCGCTAGCCACTCAGCTGCAGCTTTATTGTCAGCCTTCTGTTTTTCACTCAGTCTGACTGTGAGTTCTTCCCTCTTCAGCCGGGCATATGGGTGTTTGGGGCAATGACGGTTTGCATGTGTGAATCTGCTTAAACACCCTTAAAAAATCCACAAAATACCAATAGAAAACACATTAAGGAAAGCAGTCAACTGACAAGTTAGAATAACAGCCATGGAATGAATCCAACCTTCTTTACTCCACAAAAACCTGCATCCAGTTGAAAACAGCACACTAGCTGCAAGTCTCACAACATACCTAATCATTTTATGCATTGGTATTGACTGATACAATTACTGATAACCTGGCTTACATAAATCAAGCATGCAATCCTTCTATCTAAGTTGCATGATTCTGTGTGGCTTCTTCTTTCCCTAGATGCTCCTCGAAAATTAAGATCCAAAGCTTGTATATATAGCTGACACATGAGCATCTATACATTTCCAGTACTAGACTGATACTAATTCTGAAAGCCTGTGCTGGTTTCAGGTGGGATAGTTAATTTTCTTCCTAGTGGCTGGTACAATGCTGTGTTTTGGATTATAATGTGATAATAATGTTGATAAAGCACTGATGTTTTAGTTGTTGCTAAGTAGTGCTTACCCTGAACTACGACTTCAGTTTCTCATGCTCTGCTACTGACCAGGTGCACAAGAAGCTGTGAGGGAGCATAGTCAGGACAGCTGACCCAAACTAGCCAAAGGGATATTCCATATCATAGGACATCACACTCAGTATATAAAATGGGGGGGGAGTTAGCTGGGAGCCACCGATCACTGCTCAGAGACTGACTGGCTGGGTAGTGAGCAATTGTATTGTCCATCACTTCTGTTTCTTGAGTATTATTCCTCTCTCTTTCCTGTTAATTATCATTACTGTTATTGTTATTCTTTTTTACTTTAATTCAATTATTAAACTGTTCTTATCTCAACCCACAGGTTTTACCTCCTTCTGATTCTTTTCCCCATTCTATCAGGGGTGGGGCGGGACAGGTGAGTGAGCAGCTGTGGGGTACTTAGTTGCAGACTGGGGTTAAACCATGATAAAGGCACAAGTTGTTCTCTGAAACCTTACCGTTCTCTGAGCAGATGAAAGGCTTTTCCCCTGTGTGAAGACGCTGGTGAGTTTTGAGTTGCCCGCTCTGAACAAAGGCTTTCCCGCAGTCTGGGTAGTCACACAAATAAGGTCTTTCACCTTTAAAATCAAAACAAAACAACACCCAGAAATCCCAAAAAAAACAACTGTCCTGGGTTTAGCAGTAGCAGTCAATTTTTTCTCCTTCTTAGTAGCTGGTGCAGCATTGTGTTTTGACTTTCAGCCAGGGAATAGAGCTGATAACACCGATGTTTTTAGTTGTTGCTAAGTCATGTTTACTCTGACCAAGGACTTTCTGAGTCTCATGCTCTGCCAGGGAGGAGGGGAGGCCGGGAGGAAGCAGAGACAGGACACCTGACCCAAGCTGGCCAAAGAGGTATTCCATACCACAGCACATCATGCCCGGGTAGGTAACTGAGAGTTACCCGGAAGGGCACAGGGCTCTCTTTTGGGGTCGGACTCGTATTCTCTTCCCTTGTTATTTTCTCTTATCATTATTATCATTGGTGGTAGCAGTAGTGATTTGTGTTATACCTTAGTTACTGGACTGTACTTCTCTCAACCTGTGGGAGTTACATTCTTTCAATTCTCTTCCCCATCCCTCCAGGAGCGGGGGGGGGGAAGAAAAGAAGGAGGGAAAGAAGGGGGGGAGTGAGCGAACGAGCTGCCTGACAGGTTTAAACAACTCCTCCAATCCAAACCCACAACCACACAGATTTATGAAAGCTGAATATAGAAGAGTTGTACTATCTAGTGGTGTTCCTTGCCTGCTTACACAAGCAAGCTCTCCTTTTATGCACTCAAAATTGCATTTACTCAGAGAGCCTTAGTGCATTGGACAGCAGATAACATGCCAGCATTTTATGCCAAATGGATGTTTAAAGTATGCATTAAATGCTACTGGATAATACAGGTGTTGGTCTCTTCTCCCAAGTAACAAGAGGTAGGACAAAAGGAAATGGCCTCAAGTTGTGCAAGGGGAGGTTTAGACTGGATATTGGGAAAAATTTATTCACTGTAAGAGTTATCAAGCACTGAAACAGGCTGCCCAGAGAAGTAGTTGAATCACCATAGTGGTGGACTTGGTAGTGTAAGGTTTACAGTTGGACTCGGTCTTATGGGTCTTTTCCAACCTAAATGATTGTATGATTCAATTACTGTGTAAAAACTACACAAAAGAAGAAGGAAACAGATGTCAGAGAAGAGGCAGTCAGGATGAAAAATACTACCAAGTACAGAACCCCAAGCTCAGGAAATTTTTTCCTCTTATTAAGGAAGTCCGACAACAGCAGATATAATGTTTCCGCTACATGTCTTTTGTATTAGAGCCCAAATTACTGCTAGTTACCCTGTGACAAAAACAGTTACAGAAAGACTTTCTTTTGATTGCACTAACAAGCCCTGTGAGAAAAGTATAATTAATCTAAGAATTAAACCAAGATATTAACAGATTGAATTGTTTGTTGGTTTTTTTTGCCTTCTCAGCTCCTTCATAAGTGTTTGTCAGCTACTCACATCTTCCTTTTAATCTCTTCACTTACCAGTATGAGTTCGTTTGTGTGCCTGTAGTGATTTCTCTCGTGGAAACACCCGGTTACAGATATTGCAGCGTATTCTGCTAGAAGAATGCTCTCCTTCATTTATTAGGTCACGAACTGTGTCTGCTCTTGGTCGGCCACGTCTTCTCCCATCCTGTATTGAAATAATTAAGAAACTGAAGTATGTTTAACCCCAGCTGACAACTAAGTACAACTCAGTCACTCACGCTAGCTTGCTCACACCCCCCCCCCCCCCCCCAGTGGGAAGGGGAGGAGACTCATAAAAAAGCTAAAACCCATGTGTTGAGATAAGAACAGCTTAATAATTGAAATAAAGTATAGTATAATACAATACTAATACTAATGATATTAATGAAAAGGGAAATAGCAACGAGAGAGCGAGAGAGAAAACAAACAAAAAACCCCAACCAACAAGACTGATGCACAATACTGATGCTCACCACCCACTGACCAATGCTCAGCCTGTCCTGAGCAGCAATTGGCCCCTCCCAGCTAACTCCCCCCAGTTTCTATACTGGGCATGACATGCCGTGGTACGGAATATCCCTTTGCCTCGTTTGTGTCAGGTGTCCTGTCTCTGCTTCCTCCCGGCTTCCTGTGCCCCTCCTCACTAGAAGAGCATGAGAGACTGAAAAGTCCTAGTTCAGGGTAAGCACTACTTAGCAACAACTAAAACATCAGTGCTTTATCAACATTATTCTCAGACTAAAGTCAAAACACAGCACTGTACCAGCCACTAGGATGAAAATTAATTCTGTCCCAGCTGAAACCAGGACAAGGTGCCATACTTTTCCATGTAAGCTGTTTAGCAAAATACATACCCCCTCCACCAAACAAACCAACCCACAAGCAAGAACACACACAATATTCTTACATAAGCTCAAGAAAATTGAATGATCTGCTAAAATAATACATAGTAAACCACAAAAATTTTTATAAAAAAGAAAAAAAAAAGACACTGTGGGGTATATGTGATAGGTTGTGGGTGGGGGGTGTGTCAGGATTAGGTAGGGGGTGGGGATGTGTACATATAGGGGAATCTGGTTTGGGATGTTTTTTCCACTCCAGGGTCTTGAGTTGTCTGGATTTTTTTTATTCCGTTGGTTTTGAGTCACCAGGGTTTTTTTTCATTCCATGGCTTTGGGCTGTTGGGGATTTTTTGTTGTTGTTGTTGTTGTTGTTGTGAGTTTTGGGGTTTCCAGGTTGGTCTGGAGTTTTTATTTTGGTTCCTGCTTTTTGGGTCATATGAAGATTTTCTTTTTCATTCTGGGGTCTTCGGTTGTTGGAGGTTTTATTCGTTCTGGGGTCTTGGATTGTTTGTGGCGTTTGATTCCAGTGTTTTGGGTTGCTAGGGATTTTTTGTGTGTGTTTATTTTTTATTTTTTTTTTTGTGATTGGTTTGGGGTTTTTTGTGTGGTTTTTGGTTTTTTTTTGATTGGTTGGGTGGGTTTTTTTAGTTTTTTTTTTACTGTCTGGGGTCTTGAGGTTATTTGATTCCAGGCTTCTGGTTTGTGTGGGTTTTGTTTGTGGTTTTTTTTTGGGGGGGGGGGGTTGTCCAGGCTTTTAAGTTGTACACAGTTGTGTTGGTTTTGAGATTTTTTTTATTTTTTGTTTCAACCTTTGAGTTGTAGGGGTTGGGGGGGGGAGGGGGTGTCTTTTGTTTCCTGGCTTTTGGGGCACCTGGTGGTTTTGGTTTTTCTGGCCTTTTGAGTCACCTGTTTTTTTCTTTTGGTTCCAGGCTTTTGCATCAACTGGTTTGGGTTTGTTTTTCTTTACTAACAGGCTTTTGGAGTGTCTGGGTTTTTTTGTTTGTTTTTTTTCATTCCAGGCTTTTGGGGCATGTAAGAAACTAAGGATAAGAGTATTGTTTATTAGGATTTATGTTAAGCCCAATGTAAAGGTTAGGTGTAAGAAACTAAAGGATAAGGGTATTGTCTATTAAGATTTATGTTAAGTCCAACGTAAAGATTAGATGTAAGAAACTAAGAATAAGGGTATTGTTTATTAAGATTTATGTTAGACAACAAAAAAATGTGAAATCACTTACTCAAACAGTCACCGGACACAGCTTGTGCAAGATAAGATAACCGCAAACACTTACACAAACTAAATCAAGTACCGCTTAGACAAACATAGCAGATGTGGACTAAAGATAACAGTAAGATGTTTCAGGAACTGGCAGAAATAAGATAAAACAACTCCATATAAGGACATATGGGTAAAAGGTCAACTATAGGATGAAGGAGGAAGATTTCTTACTTCAGCCTCAACGACCACCAGGAGACAGAAGTGACCCCCTAGCAACAGCTGAAGCATGCGCAGAGTACCTCCACTACTTCACGAGCACGGAAGTAAAGATGTATAAAAAGGGACTATTTGAACTGCTCAGCACGGCAGTTGTCGGAGCGCAGACTCCCCTGTCGTCCAGCGCTGTTTTTGCTCATATCCTACTTGCTATAATTAATAAAAATTTTAATTGGATTATGATCCGTTGTGGTCTCAATTTATGACAATTTTCTGGTGCCGTGACTCGGATAAGGAACGGTGGGCTTTGGTCCTCTGGGGAGGCGCCCCGCGACATTTCGCGGCCCCGCGACCAACAGCTCACCCCAACCTTAACGACGAACCTAAATTCTAGAATAATGAGCAAAGGAGAAACTGGTAAAATCCCATAAAATTCTGTGCACGGGAGTCCGGACAAAGACGCAGGACGCGTAAGTATATTGCAAAGTTGTTCGCGGGTTTGCCGTTCGGGCGGGATTGGGTTTCCTGGAATATAACGAGTGAGAGGTTCGATATACTGAACCAAGCGAGTGTGGACTCTTAAGTACTGCGTTTCCCATCTCCCGCGAGGGACTGGGCCAGGAACAAGAGGACTGAGTGAGTGTATGTTTGTGGATATTCCAGAAGATGGGGGCGAAGGGCAGCAAGCCTTCGACTCCCATGGGAAGGGTACCCATTGTACCTAAGAATACCCCTCTGGCATATATCTTAGACAATTGGAGATATTTCCCTGGAACCCTAGGAAAAGATAAACAAAAAATGATAGAATATTGTACTAAGATATGGGGAGGGAAGAAGATTTCTAAAAATGTCTTTTGGCCAGTCTATGGGTCAGAAGAAGATTGGGTAAGACAGCAATTAAACCTCTGGGTTAATAATAAAAAACCCCTTAACCCGGAGGAGAGTCAATATGCGGAAGTGTGGCTAGAAAAATCGGGAGCTAGACTTTACCCGTTGAATGAAATAAAAACTAAACAAAAGAAAAAGAAGGAAGAATTAGACGAAACCCTTCTAACCCTCCCTCCTTACATTCCTCCTCCTGCTCCCACAGCCCCTCCAGAGGCCCCCAGAGCATCCACTCCCCCACCAGAGTCAGAACAAGAGTCTCCCCCTCCTCCTAGACGCGTAACTAGAAGTCAAAAAGGGGCAGCTCAGATGTACCCTCTAAGGGAAATACCCATGGGGGGACCTCAACCTGTGATCGGATATATCTCCGTACCCTTAAATTCGGCTGACCTACGAGATTTTAAAAGAACCGAGATGGGAAACTTAATTGAGGACCCACTCGGAATGGCAGAAAGATTAGATCAATTTTTGGGACCAAACCTTTATACTTGGGATGAGATGCAATCTATCCTTGGTCAATTATTTACTACTGAGGAAAGAGATATGATTAGACGAGCAGGAATGAGACTGTGGGATGCTCAACATGTCCAGGGACCCCAAGCAGATATTAAATGGCCACTCCAAAGACCTAATTGGGATAATCAAGATCCGGTACATAGAACTCATATGCAGGATCTGAGAACTATAGTAATTCAGGGAATTAGAGAAGCAGTACCCCGTGGCCAGAATATCAATAAAGCATTTAATGAAATGCAAAAGAAAGATGAAAGCCCTACTGAGTGGCTAGAACGACTGAGGAAAGCCCTTCAGCTGTACTCTGGGGTAAATCCAGACGACCCTTTAGGGCAAGCGCTCCTCAAAACTCAGTTTGTGGCAAAATCATGGGAAGATATCAGAAAGAAGATTGAAAAGTTAGAAGACTGGCAGAATAGAGGGCTGGATGAATTACTGAGAGAAGCTCAGAAAGTTTATGTAAGGCGGGAAGAAGAGAGCAGCAAGCGACAAGTAAAATTGATGGTAGCAGTGGTCAGAGAGGATCGCAAAGGGCGAACTGGTGAACACAGATCTGCTGGAACGAAACAAGGGAACATAGTAGTAGAGAAGGAACAGAGATATTGTTTTTACTGTGGAAAGAAGGGACATATAAAGAAGAATTGCAGACAAAGGATCAGGGATGAGGAAATGTTGAAAACAGAATAGGAGAGTCAGGGGCTCTATATCTTAGGGGACCGGAGTCATCATGAGCCCTTGATAAAATTAAGAATAGGTCCCCATAAACAAGAGTTCACCTTTTTAGTAGACACTGGGGCTGAAAAATCAACTATTAAGCAAATACCTGAGGGATGTAAAGTTTCCCCTGAAAAAGTACAAGTAATTGGGGCAAAAGGAGAACCCTTTAAAGTAAGCAAAATTAAAAATGTGGTATTCGAAACTGAAAATAAATTTGGAATGGGTGAACTCTTGCTCGTCCCTGAAGCAGAATTTAATCCGTTAGGACGAGATTTAATTGTTGAATTGCAATTAGAAATTAAAGTGAAAAATCAAGAGCTGACAGTGTCTGCTTATCCTTTGACCGTGGATGATCAAAAACAAATTAACCCCGATGTCTGGTACTCTCCGGACACAATTAGTAGATTGGAAATTCCACCAATTAAAATCCAAATTTCCGAACCCCACATACCTGTGAGGGTGAAACAATATCCCATCTCCCTAGAAGGACGGAGAGGATTAAAACCAGAAATCGATCGATTGTTGGCAAAAGGATTCTTAGAGCCTTGTATGTCACCCTTTAATACTCCCATTCTGCCTGTAAAGAAACCAAATGGGAAGTATCGGCTCGTACATGATTTAAGAGAAATAAACAAAAGAACTATTACCCGGTTCCCTGTAGTAGCAAACCCATACACATTGTTAAGTAAACTAGGACCCCATAGGTGGCATACCTATCAAAGTTATTGGACCCTGTGAGCAGGGGTTGGCCGAGTTGTTTACAAATCATTGTTG